TGGTTTTGCACCAAACACTTGTGTTTTGCCTTGGAGGGGCAGGGAATGCCTTGTGAGGCATCCCCCCACATCACCAGCCATGGCTCGAGGCCACTGGCCAGTGATTTTATGCCATCGGCAGTACATATTACCGGTCGGCATTCTTTGCTGCCGTTCGGCCATTTATTTTGTCAAAGTGAGAATTTTAGATGGCTGAACACTGTTAATCTACTTTTAGTAGATATTTTGTGCCAGCTGTGATAGCTGGCACCCTCTCTGTTCCCCTCCATACACGTGTATGGAGGGATTTCCCTCTTGTATGGCTTGTTTTGAAAGCCTTACAAGAGGGAATTGCCTATAAGAAGAGGGCTCCTCTCTTGGCATTAGGGTTACAAAATTTTCAGAGGGAGCTCTGGATTAGGGTTGGGGTTGATACATATTTCCTATCTCTATATCTCTCTTGTGTGTGTCTAGTGTGTGTTTGCCCATTTCGGCGAGACCTTAAATACGCACGGTTTAGGAGACCCTAAATCCTCTGAAGGTGCAAGTCCTTCGGTGTTTGTCGTGCCCGAACGACTTTTGATAAGTTGCATTATATATGCATTTCAAGCGACTCGCGTCGTCGCATATTCAAATTCACGTGCATCTCAAAAGTCGCGTGTTGTTGCGCATTCCGTGCAACATGCATTTCATGCATCATTTGCATTTCAAAAAAAAACAAACAAAAAAATATATATATTTGCATTGTCATGCATCATCATAAATAGTTGCATTGTCATGCACCATCGTAAATAGTTGCATTATCATGCATCATCGTAATATAGTGTATATTGCATTGTAGCTTGCATGGATTCACTGCATCACTTCCATCTATGGCTTGCGCCTTTCCATGTTGAGCTTGGTTTGGTATGTGCCCATACTTCTCGTGTCGAAGCATAGTTCAGTGGACCGTTCTATGTTAGACGTGGCTTGTATGTGTACATGCTTTGCCTAGGCAAAGATTTGGTTTGGCCCGCGTGCCATATCCATTGCCATTTCCCCAGCATTTTCATTATATACTACATTGTAGTGTAATTGTTGCATCCAGCATTAGGATCGTTGTCCTTTCCCCAGCGGGTCCTTTCCCCACCTTTGTCATTCCCCCCAATACTTGTTCTTGTGTCCGTCTACATTATTCATAGTTCTGTTGACCGTTCTATGGTAGACAGACTTGTTACCTCCATCAATCTATTTGACATAGGTGTCATTTCGAACCGCTTATAATTGGATCATGATTCAATTGCATTGCATTTGCATTTACATAGTTTTGTATATATTGCATATCATTTTGCATTCGATTTTGCATTGTCATGCATGTTGCTAATAACATTGTACCTGTTAAGTTTGCTTTCTTTGCAGGCACGATATTGTATGTACGGTTCGTTTGAAGCTAGTGCAACCAGACGAGCCGCACAGGTATTGTATCCTCTGAGTGAGCTGTATCGAGAATTGCATAATTCTCTTACATCCTTTCTGCATTTGTAATGTAGTTGCATTAGGTGTATGCTAGCATAAAATTGTCGCATGTGTGGTTCATTACAGCTTTCTTTGCATGATCATAAGTTATGTCTGGCTCTGTGCATTGTCTTGCTGTTACCTCGGAAGCGCCGAAATATAGATGAGAGGTAGGCTCGCGTATCGAGAATTGCATAATTCTCTTACATCCTTTCTGCATTTGTAATGTAGTTGCATTAGGTGTATGCTAGCATAAAACTGTCGCATGTGTGCTTCATTACAGCTTTCTTTGCATGATCATAAGTTATGTCCGGCTCTGTGCATTGTCTTGCATCTTGCCCCCGCCTTCGGGCGCGTATCTTGTTCGTCTTGTATGTTTGTCTGAGTCTTCGGCCTTGTCAAAAATGGGTCGTTTCTGGGCTTTGACATTCACTCCTGCCATTGTCATGACTTTCGAGTTCTGTCAAAGAGGGGCAACTTAGACACCCCACTTTTGACCGTCCTCAAGACTTGGACATCACCATTGGAACACTTGGTGATTACCCTTGTTTGTGTTCGTCTTGAGTTCCCGGAGGTCTCGGTTGCGCGCCTTGCCTCAGGATCTCTCAACTCGACCGTGTTGTGTCTGGTTTTGCACCAAACACTTGTGTTTTGCCTTGGAGGGGCAGGGAATGCCTTGTGAGGCATCCCCACACATCACCGGCCATGGCTTGAGGCCACAAAAAAAAAAAAAAGTAACAAGTAATGTCAGCTACTTCATACATAAAAAAAATACTAAGAAAAATAATATATAGATCAAGAGTTTAAACACAAAACAAATGTTAATAAAAGTAATGTATGTTTTAATTTCACTTCACATGTGAATTCGACCGTAACAAAGTTAAACCACACTACTTGATTTTTTTTTTTGTTTTTTTTTTTTTTTTGATATACTATTTCAAGCTATATTTGTTTGGGTATACTACATAATTTCTCTTAAGTAGTTTTATGAAAAATCATCTAGGTCAATTAATTGATCCTAAACATTTTTGGTTGTTTGATCACAACTTTGAGACACTTTTCATAAAATATTTTTATGGCCGTTAACATTTTTGCAACACATAAATTGTAATATAAGAATTTTATTAGATAGTGCCTTCAGGCACGGGCAATCTCTAGTATATATATATCACAGAAACTAGATTGACATACAGTTTGGTAAAGAGAATCTCACTACAACAAAAAAGGTCTATGGTGACGAAAACACATGACGAAAAAATATTTCGTCTCCAAATATACATGTTTTAGTGATGAAAATAAGATTTCGTCTCCAATTGTACTATTTTTAGAGACGAAAACCAAATTTCGTCACCAAATGCTTAAAATCAAATAAAACAATTGGTGAGAAAAAATTTATTCGTCTCTAAATTTTATTTTTCGTCATAAAACAGTTTCTCACCCAGGAAAAATTTGGCGGAAGATTTGGCGCCATTTTGGAGACAAAATTTTTCGTCACCATTGTAAAACAATTTTAGAGAGGAAATAATTTCATCTCCAAATGTATTATTTTTAGAGAGGAAAACCAAATTTTGTCACCAAATGCTTAAAATCAATAAAAAATAAAATTGAACCAAGAGATAGATATCTCTCTGTTTAGATGCATGTATTTTACTTTCTATATCTCTCTTTGTCACCCCTTCACCCATTCATCTCCGTCACACCGTCCGTCCATCTATGTCGTATCGGCCAACCCGCACGTCGCCGGCTGGCGCTCGCTACAACAGGTATCTCTCTCTCTCTCTCTCTTCCTCTCCTTTCCTATTTTTGCCTCACTCTCTTTCGCCCTACCCTTTTCTCGCTTTTTTGAGCTCCGTCACCCCTCTTCTCGCTTTTCCAACCTCCGTCACCCCTCTTCTCTATCTTGCTATCCTCCTTTTCGTCTCACTTTCATAACACATTTTTTTATCCTAATTTCACTACAAGAAAAAACACTTTTGGCGACCATCATATTTGAGTTGGTCGTAGATAGTTAACTTTTTGCGACTAACATTTTTTTGGTCACTAATGAGTTGTGTTTTTTGCGACCAACGACATTTTGGTAGCTAATAGGTAATTTTTTGGGACCAAAAAAAAAAATTATGATCATGGAAAGTAATAGCGGGAGAGGGGAAAAAAAAAACGGGATCTCAAAACCTTTGGTGACTAATAAATTGTGTTCATAGAAAGGAAAATGCCATATTTTGTATCAAAACTACGTAAACGACATTTTGGTAGCTAATAGGTAATTTTTTGGGACCAAAAAAAAAAAATTATGATCATGGAAAGTAATAGCGGGAGAGGGGAAAAAAAAAACGGGATCTCAAAACCTTTGGTGACTAATAAATTGTGTTCATAGAAAGGAAAATACCATATTTTGTATCAAAACTACGTAGTTTTGAATGTTTCATAATATTAATTAAATTTGTTACGATTTAAAATAACTATTAATAATCAGTTCAAAAAAAATATTAATAATTAAATAATAAATTATTAAGAATATAATAATAAATATTTTTTAATATAATTATTATTTACTGATTAAAATCATAAAATTCCTAAAATTTATTTATTTTCATTCAAAATATTAATTAAACCTTAATAAAGGTAAAATTACAAACATAAATAATAAAACTTAAAAAAATATAAATTAAAACCAATTTTTACTATAAAATTTTACCTCAAATTTCTTCTCAATATTTGAAAAAAGCCTTCAAAATTTTGCTACAATTAAAATTTCCTCATAAAATTTTGTCTAAATTTCTACTCCCTGGTCCCAAAAACAAGAAAAAGGGAAAAATAGAGAAAGACTAACGGAGATGTGTTCGAGAGAGAGAGAGAGAGAGAGAGAAGACGAAGAAGAGATGGAGGGAAAAGAGACCATGAAGAGAGGCAGAGGGAAGAGCAGTCCTTCGGAGTAACAGCCATTGCTTCACTGCGTGATGGCCATTGCGTTGCTCAAGCAATCCTTCGGAGCTACCTCCTTCGCAGCCTGGTTCGTCTTTGCTTCTCTCTCTGGTCGACGAAGACCCGCGAACGAAGCAAACGGAGCCGTCTCACCTCTTCCTCCGACCGGAGCTCTCGCACCTCTCCCTCCCACCGTCCAATTTCAGGTTCATGTTTAGATACTAGGGTTTTGAGTTTTGATTTGAGGCTTTTCAATTTGAAAATTAGGGCTTAGGGTTTTTCAATTTCAAAATTTGGGGCTTTTTAATTTGGGGTTAGTGTTTAACTTGGCTACTTGTTATGAATGTTTAAATGGGAAGACAAAAAAATTCCTGTTATGAGGGATTTCATTTCTGAATGAAAAAGTAGATACTCTGATTTCTGTAAATTTGTGTTTGGTATAGAAAGAAAAATAAATAAAAATTTCAGAATTGCTAAGCCTCTATGATTTGAAGAGTAGCTTCGTCCAATTCGATTGGTCGTTGTTTGATATCATTTGTCTCTTCATCCCTAACTCAACTGTCCCTCTTCTTGCTTCCTTCCTTCTTCCCTTCCTTCTCTCTACTCTCTCTCTCTGCTCTCACTCTCAGGTCCTCTCTCTCTCTCTCTCTATATATATATATATATATGAATATGTGGTTGAAGTGGTTGCTTTTGTTGCAGCTGTAGCACTATTGGGAGTGACAGGTGTTGGGAGATGCTGCAAGAGACTTGTAGGAGTGGGAGGATCAGCGCCGGCTTTCGTTTTCTTCAATATTATATTCAGTTGGGGCGTTTATATTGGATTGGTTCGACAAGGTCCCTCTTTTTTCTCAGTAATCTCTCTCTCTCTAGTCTCTAATTTGTATCCTCAATATGATTCACTGTTTGATTATTCTACGAATTTTAAAGTCTGGGTTCTGCATACAATGGGATTCGAGTGGTGGGTTTTTTCAACAGTCGGAGATGGTTTATTTATTCATCATATACGTGGTGTTTTTAAGGAATTTTTGGGTGTAGATGCCACGTGTAGCTTCTACTATTTTGAATTTGACAGTAGGGTCATTACATTTATGTTGGATGTTTGAGGAAAAATGAAGGTGTATACATTTGTGATTGATTGATAAAAGGTAGTGCTACGTGTACCCTATTAACATATAAAAATTTCTCAGTGTTTTCTGTTTGTTTGTTCATTTCTCTGTAAAGGAGTGAGTAATATATTTTTTCCAACCAGATAATAAATTATGTGAGAATGCTCAAATTTTAGTTGGATAGAGATGGATTATTGGTTGCTCATCATCGATATGTATCTACTTTTTTCCAAATTGTGACTTGTATGGAATCCTGACATCCTTAAAAAAATTATATTTTTTTCAGTCATTTCACCTTTGCTAGATGTTATACTCAATGCAGAGTTCTTTATGCTCGTGATTGGTCTATGCAGGTCAGATTATTGTTTCTACACTCAAAAATTGATTGAATTGATTTGTTCGTACAAAATCTAGATTTAAGGTTTGAATGAATGAAATTTCAATCATTTATTCATTGTCCTAACTGTGTGTTTCTTGGTGCCAGTATCCTGACAACAGACCCTGGTTATGTTACAAATGAATCTTCCCATCATAACCAGCTTGTTGAGAGTCCTGTCTCAGTATTTGAAGCCCATTCTGAGGTTGAAAAATGTTGAGAAGCCCCTCCGATTAGATATGAATCATATGATTAACACAGATATTGAAATTATCTTCTGGAGCAGGAACTGGTGCCTTCAACTCATGACATTCCCTATGAGTTTGTTGCTGAAGAAGTAAGCTAATTCCGGTGATTTCATCGGTTACAGCATTAAATACCACTGAGTTTTGCGATCACATTTAATTTATCCTTTGAATTTTAGTTTTCAAAATTGGCTTTGGTAGCTTTGCTAGTTTGGTTTCATGTTTTGCTTCTCAAATATTATCTTGATTTAATACATACTAGGTAGTCAGATGTGATTGCAAGGAACTATGAATATCAACTGAAACTTTAATTATCGGGTCTATATTTCATAGCTTACAATGATCCTGGATTTCTGGTCTTTGATTTTTTGGAATCTGGATTCCATAGTGAAAAGCCGAAGGCTTTAAACGTAATCTAGTGGCAACATGTGTTGAACTATCTTAAATTCTGTTGCGTTTCGTCATAGCAAATCATTATTGATTGAAAATATCTCAGCTTTCTATCCATGTTAAATTTCTGTGTAGCCACAAAATCTTAGCACTGCATTTACTTCTTTATCATTGAAATCTTATGTATCCTGAAGTCTTCAGTATTTATGCTATCACAGAATTCTATTCCACTTCAGAGAGTCAGATATTGTAGGCACTGCAAGGCATATGTAAAGGGGTTCGACCATCATTGTCCTTCTTTTGGAAACTGTATAGGTAATGACAACATACGGGGTATAGTTGTTTACATTTTTAACTACTTCAGACAACAAAAACTGCTGTGTTTTTCGTTCTTATTAAACTAGTCTTGGATTTGGTACATCAATGGGTCTTGCTGTCTTTGTGGATGTGACATTGATATCCTTTTAATGCAGGTCAAAAAAACCATGTCCTCTTCATAATCCTCCTTTTTGGGTTTGTTTTTACTGAGGCTTCGTATGTAGAATGCTCATCTCAATGTAAGCTTGAATATATTGGATACTGACCTGCATTAGTTTCAACAATTTATTTTTTTGGTGAAATTAATTATGCTAATTATTAATTTCAAGAGGATTCACATTTGCTGTATATCATGTGAATATAAAAAGGCATCCTCAAGTTGGATAAGCCTCTAGGAAATTGGCTCAAGTTTGCTGTCTGAATACTCGAAGTTATGCCTATTTATGGTGACTGGATAAGGCCATAAATTGTGAATACTACTGCGTATCATCTTTCCATTCATATGATGCTTACTTCTTTTTATGCCTTTGTTTAGAATCAGTTAGTATTCAGATCTGAACAATGAGGAAGAACTTTTTGTAATTGCTGTGAACAATCATTTCATTTTTACTCCAGTAGGAAACTGTTCATTAAAATAAAATGGAAATAAGGAAGGTAGTGGTGTTTGCTTCTAACACATCCTGTTGAGCCATGCCTTATTTAATTAGCAATGCTAGAGTTGTTATGATTTTCAACACCCAAATTTTCAGTTTAGTTTAATTATATTTCAAAGCTTGATAGGCATAAGTAATATGAACTAGTAGGTGTCTGAATTGTGACATGAGTGCCCCATTTATAATACATATTTTAGAATAATTTGGTTTACCGATGTGATGTGCCCATTGTAGTAAGACTTGTCTTATGCTGAAAAATGTATATATCACAGTTGGTTGCTGTTACGTCTAATTGTGTATGTGAACAAAATTTAGGTTATTCTTAATCAATGGACATCTCTAATTGACAAGAAGTGGAATAGTAAAGAATTCATGGTATAATGTTTTATGTTAATTGTCAAAAATTAATTTTCTTCTTACTAATGTTAAGTTTTGTTGTTTTTATTGGTGTTTCAATCGTGTAGGAACAATCACTAACTTATGTTTATATGTTAATTTAGTAGAACATTTCTTCTTCAACTAGGGTAGAATAAAAAACTACTTTTGACATTTAGGCACAAGGTCCCGGGAAAATAGTGAAGTATGCATCTAAAGGCCCGAAAAACATCACAAACACCTTGAGATTATCAGAAATTATCATGAACACTTTGGGAGGGATGAACATAAGTTGTGAAAACTTACAGAACAATCATAGGGCTCTCGGTTGGAAAACATTTAGGCTTGAACATAGGCCGTTAGGGAGTAAAATCTTGAAATAGTCGTTAAAAGG